TTCCTGCTGGAGGTGGTTCAAGCACCTACTCTGAATGCCTTCAAGAGACATCTGGATGTTTATCTTGCTGGGATCTTATGATCCCTGCTGACTTCATGCCCCTGGGACAGGGGGCTGGACTCGATGATCTTCCGAGGTCCCTTCCAGCCCTAATGTCTATGAAATATATGAAATAGTTGGGAAAATGTTCTTTGCAAGCTTTTGGGCACAAACACCCTTCTTCAGACATAGGGAGGATCTGTTGGTGTTTTGTGTGCTCTCCTAGGTAGAACAGAAGCTAATATGCAGATTGCAGGTCTGTAAAAATACAAATGCTTGGCATTGAGGATCAGAGGTGATGGGGGACAATAGGTGTGAGACAGGTTGGTTGGGGGGTGTGGAGGAGAAATGTTGACCTGGTGACAGAATGTAGGTGGTAACATGTAGAGAGGTTACCTGGGGTTATCCAATGGCAGGAAGATAATAATGTACCATAAATCCAATGTCTATATTTTGTCCATGATATTTTTTTTGTATCTAGTAGATTTATGAATTGAAGTTCATAGGCCTGTCTACGAAAGGTGTTTTGTAAACTCCCTTTGAGGATTAGAACTGAGAGATTGGAGAGAGAGAGTGGTTGTTTTGTGAAAAGTGTGCACCTACAGGTAATTGGGTATTTCTGTCTTTGATAGATTTTCAGTATGTATTTATTCTGATACACAGTTATTATTTAGTTTCTTCTACATATTTTCCATCATGGCATTTAGTGCACTGGATGAGATATATTACACTTCTGGAGGTGCGAGTATAAGATCCAGGAATGGTGATGGTTTTGTTGTGGGGAGTAGTTATTGTGGGAGTGCTGGAGATTTGTTGGCAGGTTTTACATTTCTTGTCCCGGCATGGTCTGAATCTATTCAGTATGCCTTGGCCATAGGATGTGTTGGTTATTGAAAGTGAAGTTGTTGTGTGTGAGGATGAAGTGTATAAGTTCAGTAATATCATTAGGTCTGAGTTGTAATCTTGCTCTTGTAGATATGTAAGGCAGGTGTCACAGGGAGAGACAAACGCGGGAGACCCCAAACCCCAAGGGGAGAGCCCCGGGGCCAGGGAATGGGGGAGGAGCAGGAAAAACAAAAGTAAAAAAAGAAAACTTACCCGCAACAGGACCTGAGGCAAAACAAGAATGACGGAGAAAGCCCGCGCGGGTTATTAGCTGCACTTTCATTCAGCTGTGGCCAGTGGGTGATGTCAGCAGCAATCACCAGCCGGCAGAAATAAAAAGGACGGCACACAGAGAGGCAGGGGTTCGGATGCTGGGAGGAGCCCCAGCCGGTGGAGTCAGCTGGAAGGACGGAGCGGGGCGAGAGACAAGGATCGCTAGCAGAGGAGGAGCCGACGCCTCAGGCAGCAAGGGAAAGGTCGTCATCAGCAATAAAGACAAACCAGCGCTAGGAGCAGGAGCTCCAGTGCAGGGCTGTGGAATCCCAGAGGGAAGGCTGCAGAGTGGTGAAGACCCAAAGAGAGAGCAGCCTTATGGTGAAGTCCCAGAGAAAGGACTGCAGGATTGTGGAATTCCAGAGAGAGGGCTTCAGGATTGAGAAGACCCAGAGAGAGGGCGACAATATTGAAGGGCCCAGAGAGAAGGCGACGACACTGGAAGGCCCCGAGGGAGAGCCACCATAGCCAGGGCAGTAGGGACCAAACCATAGGGCTAGGCGAACCAGAAAGGACCCTATTGGTCAAATAGGAGCACGGAGGGGCTATCTTGGGGCCACAAGGAAGCACGGTGTTAGTACACAGTTTTGGGCTCCACAATTTTAGAAATACCAGCCATTTGGTGCAATATGTTCCATGGCAAAGGCAAAAATAAATGTGCTCTTCAAGAGTATTTTTATCAGCCCCAGTGATAAATTCACTGGGGCTGGTGATTTTCTTGTGTTTGTTGTTTGTTTTTTTTCCCTTCTTCTTGGCTAGAGAGAGGATTTTGTGTTTCCCCATACCGGAAGGGGTTGAGGAAGGGTGAGATAAGAAAAGCGGGAAGAGGAGCCGAGCGCTTGTTGTTTGAGAGGAGTTCATGGAGTACAAGATCGGCCACAGGATCGACAGTGACCCGCCAGGCTGGGTATAGGGCGAGGTAGAGGGGAGGTGGAGCCTCGTGGAAGACCACCAAAAGAGCAGGAGGCTAATGAGGGTAACCGCGCAGTACTAAGCCCCACCACTGAAGGAGATTCATAGTCGTGGCAGGCGAGAAGGGGGCAATCTGCATCGCGTGTGAAGACCTCCCCGTAAGACCACCTGTGACGGCAGGGTGGATCCCGGTGAGCACCCAAACTAGAGAAGCATGGAACAAGATGTTCAAGGCCAGGCGGGCACAGCAGGCTTGGATGCCATCCTGGTGTGGGATATTAGTTCACAAAGAATAAGACTAAATATAGACATTGGATTTATGCCATCCTATAAGCCCAGGTAACCTGTCCGCATTTTACCAGATATAGTCTATCATCAGGTCAACATTTCCCCCTTTTTTCTACCCCCAGCTACCTGTCTCACACCTATTGTCTCCCATCACCTCTGATTCTCACTACCAAGCATTTGCATTTTCACAGACCTGCATTTTGCATAATGGTTTTTATTCCACCCAGGAGAGCACCCAAAATGACAGCAGACTCTCCCTATGCCTGAAGAAGGGTGTTTGTGCCCAAAAGCTTGCAAGGAACATTTTTTACAACTGTTTAGTTGGTCTAATAAAAGATATCACATTTACCCAAAGAACCTTGTCTATCTATGTCCTTAGACCAACACGGCTATAACCAACACCAACAAAACTTTGAGATCAGATACTTCTGATCCTTTAAGCAGAGTTACGGTCTGTTTTACTGTTCAGCTGAAGGCTCCTGGAGGCAGCAGTTTTGTTTCTGATGTTTCTAGCCTATGGAATTGTCCAGTGGTTAGGAGAACTGAAACCAGTTTTAAGACTATTCTTTTAGCTTGATATGTGGTGGATGGGTATAATTTGACTATTGTTTTAGTTAGCTGTAAAGTGCAGAAATATGTGTATAAATTACATAATTTAAATTAAATTTTGTATTGTTCACAGACAAAAAAATCAACCAAATAAGTCCCAAACAAACAACCCAAGTGTTCTTATACCTCTAGTCTAGACTGACAGAATCTGTACTCAGCTACATGAGAGAGCAAAGGAAAATGAAACTTTCCCCTCTCCATGCCCCCAATTTCACAGTTCTCAGCCTTGCAGTAGAGACAGAAGAGAACATGAGTTGCCTGGTACTCCATAGGGAGGGTGAAATAACTTACTCCCTTTCTCAGACAAGGTGAGAGGAGCAAAGAAGGGAAGAAGGGTGACTCCAGGCTCTGCAGAGTATTTTTCATCTAGATATAACAGTACAGCCTAGGTTTATAGGATTTTAAAGAGTCAAACTTCAGGGTGCAGGAGCACTTTCCCCAGATTTTTAGAGAGGGGGATGAGCTGAAGGGAAGTGTTATATACATTGTGGTATGAGGAAGGGGAGGGTCAGAGGCATCTATTTTTTCCAGTTTTCCAGTGGGTGCTGCCATGTATATTTTTATAAATTTTTGACTAAGCCCCTCTTTAATATTATTTGTTAATATATTTTAATAAATATAAATTAATGTGTAGGTAAGTCATAGATACGTGGTGTAGATGTTTTCTGTGCTGACCACTGTGCGGCTCCATATATGAAAATCTCTAATAATAGAGTTTGAATCTGATAGGGACTTTTGTAAAAAGGCACTGACACCATTGCAAACATTAAACATGCTGGACCTATATAAAGGAGTGCTTGAATTATTGTAAATAACCTGCTCGCACATTTTGGGGACATCCATATTTAGACTCAAACATATAGCATGGCTCCAAGTAGTTGTTACGTTCTCCACTGCACCCTTTTTACTTCCTTAGTGGCTTGATATCCGATTTGAATATTAAAACTAATAAAATGTTCTGAAAAAGATGCTTTCATAGCAATGCTATGAATAGTCCAGTTTTGTGTAATACAAACAAAAGTATATAATCGCCTTATACAAGAAACTGTATTTTAATAAGGTACTTTGTAAAGGGGATAGAACAGCCATTTCACAACCCCTCCCTCCCCTTCCACAGAAAAGGAAATAACCATATTACTAAGCAATAAAATGTATTATTGTGAGTCAGCATGGTGTTTGCTCATAAAAATTATTTTCAAATAGTTTTGTTTAGTATATTAAAAGCTATCTCTGAGTGGGTTGGTAGGACATTGTCACAAAAGTACATAGGGCAAAATTCTGACACCCATATTCACAATGAGCATGTTGCCTTCTTCCATGAGTCAACAGCGCTACTTACAGAGGATGAGTGCCTAACTATAATCTGCCCTGAGCAAAAAGTGCTGCCCCTGAACCAGTCTTCAAGTCATTGTCACCTTCTTTCCTCTGTCACTCCAAAAAGAAAGTAAACATCCATACAATAGTTCTAGAATACTTTATGTTCCATGATATGCAGGCTCTCCTGAACTGCTGAATGCACTGGGGTATGGCAGAACAAAATGTCCCTGCATTCTTCCTCTCCCCTTCATTTAGAGAGGGGAACTTAACTCCCTCATTTCCCCTCTTGTACTAACTGCATTCTGTGATGTTCAAGCCAGCCCATGATTTAGCTCAAAGTATGATGAACTTGCACTGAGTAGCATCAGAATCTGGCTCTCAAAAAAAAAAAGGTGAAACATTGCCAAATCTGGACCTCAGTTAATAATTTTGTTTTCACTGTCTGTTTAAAGAGATTGAAATACATGTAAAGGAATGCATGCATGTCAGACCAGCCTACAACACCTTTGATTATCATAATGAAGAAGATTAAACAGATATTTGTCTCAGTATGTTTGGGGTTTTCCTGGGGTTTTTTAATGTTGTTGATCTGCAGCCAGCTCTACAGCAAAGAAAGAAAGAAGGGTTAGATATTTTTTAAAAACAGAATCTAAAAATTACACTAAAATACCTACAACGCATCTTGCAAACAGTCATATAATGTATGGTGTTGACAGGGTATGATTATTTGTCAAATAATCTTTAGGGACAGTACTTTCAAGCATGAGAAAACATTTAACTGGAAATAATAGTACTCTTAATTACTTTACTGATGTCATTGTTTAAAAAAATAAAAGAAAATGTAAAACTATTACTATCTCTATTGTACCTAGTTTTACATTAAAGAAGGGCTTCCTTAATTTAAGACTATTATACCGAGTCTTAAATTAAAGAAGTCCAACTGGTGACTGGTGAGGGGTTAATTTGTGATCCCTGGGCTCCTCTTTCCCCTTCCCCCCTCTAGTTTGGGGACTTGGTCATTTCCAGAATCCCTTCATGGATCCCATTGAGATCTTTCTGAATGATCCCATCTCCATGAGTGTCAAGGCTGATTATCAGACAAGATACAAAACTAGTGTCATACTTACTGGCTCAGTATGTCAAAAGTAAGTTTCAGTTAGGGGCAAAAATCAGGAGTCAAGAACATTGGCTTAGGCAGAGGTAACACTGAGCAGACTGCTTCCATGTTCTTGCAAGTCCCTTGATTCCCATTGGTTCACACCACAGAGGAAATCAAAGACAGGATAGTCAATCAGTCTGAAGGTACATGAGAGCCCATCCTCTTGGTGGAACTTTAGCTTGTGTGTGATAGTGACCATCATCACAACGGAGGCATACGCTGGCAAGCTGTGAGCTGGAGGTGGTGCATGCATATCAGCCCCACTCCAGCCTCAAATATTGAAACTTGTCCAGGAAAGATAATCCTACCTGATGTTCAAACTTTGTGTTTTTATCATTATGTAGCCTGAGTTGCTATGCTTAGTTCAATGCAGCTGTGCTGTCAGAAAGTTTGTGCTTGGGACTGAAATAGGTGTGGGGAGATATGGCCTCTGAGCAGATGGTCAATGGTGCCTATGCAGCAGATTCCATTTTAATGGGATGCAGGGATGAAGGGGACAGAGGGCAAACCTCACCAACCAACAGGTCAGTTTAAGGCAAAATGCACTCTCACAGTTTTTCCACATGTGACAGGCAACAGTCTAGAGGAGGGGAGGGGTATAGACAGATGTCACAACAGCATCACTATCAATTCAACTAACACAAACTGTTACAATACTACTGTTATAGTTGCTTGATTCAACAGTGATAATGTGGCAAAACCATTGAAACTTTAACTCCATTTAATTCAGGATTAGAATTAGAATGATTTATCTCACTTGGATTGTTACAGGAGCATGTACATGTCACATTTATATTGCAACAGCCAACGTGCATTCCTGAGTGGCAGCTCCCCCTCCTTTCTTAAAGCATTTGTCCATAGTCTGACAGTGTTCTGAAAAAAAAAAGAAATTTGTTTCAGGATCAACACTTCCCATATATCAAGCTTAGGGAGACATGATGCACTGCCCTATAGAATGCCTGCAGTTTCACAGCAGATAATCTAAAGTGCACAGCGTGAGACCTAATATTTTTGCTGTACTGGCCCACTGCATCACTTATTACCAAAAGGATCTCTTTTATAGATGTGCCCCTCAGGCACTATCATTTGGAACAAAGTAACTATATCTGTAAAAATTATTATAAGCAGAAGGTAGCCAAAAGTTTTTCAGCTGCATAATTTTTAAAATTATAAATATATCTGTGCAGCCAAAAAACATTAAGAAATACTATAAAGAATTTTGACTGTTACCAAACAATATGAGTATTAAAATGGAAGTCAGTGAAAGGTTTCCTTATTAGTGAGTAGCACACTAGCATATTTTCTTGGAAAATGTAGAGGGGAATTTCATCTGAAAGATAAAAAAAGTAGAATTTGACAGGCTGCTCTTTGTGTAGATAGGAATGACTAACAGGATATTTTGGTTTATGAAATGCATAAAAATTCCCCCACCCTCTGTAAATTTTCATTCACTGAAATAAAAAGAATCTGTAACTGCTAAACACTGCTCTTAAAACATGATGATTTTAAGGATTTAATATATTATATTCAAAGTCAAAAACTCTAGAGATCCCTAACAATAAATTCAGTGTAGCTTATTTTGTAGGGCATTTGTTTTATTCAACATTTGGATTCCATTATTTAGTGATGCTCTCCTGCAATTTCTCCCTAAATCTGGGTTGCTCAGGGTATCTGTCTCTGCAGTTAGGTTGAGTTTCTGGCACACACTAGGCACAGTGTAGTGCCCTGGAGAAATAACCAAGGTAGTTCTAAATCTATCTGAGGAATGGAAATAGAACATGTACAGCAGCCAGAGTTACTGCGCAGTAGTGCTGGTGAACATCTTTTAAGACTAAGTACAGGCATTCAAAAAGCCCAAGCCTGAATTGATTTAATCTTTGCAGGTTAGTCTAACCTGAGTAGATTGAACCAGCAAGCAAGTGAATAGACATTCACTTTTGATTCCAGAAATGCAGCCACATGCCTGCAGTGGCTCAGGCTAGAGCAAGCCCTCCCCTTCCACAGTGGCTGGAAGGAAGCTGAGCTGAGGGTGGGTACATGGCTAGGCCCCAGCAGGCCTGGGTGTGATTGGTGGGTGTTCTCAGTTGTGGGTGCTGCGAGCAAACCTTGTATGGGAGGGTCTGGCCAGGGCTCAGGCAGGGGCTGGACTAGACACTAAACTAGAGGACCTCTGGAGGTCCCTGCCAGCCCCACTTCTCTGTGACTCTCTCCTCCCTCCCCTCAGAACTGTGACTGGGGCCCCTGCTCTCATTGCTCAATCCTATGGTGCCAACTGCAGGCCAAGGTCTGGCCATGCTCCCTCCCCCCCATCCCCCACAAAAGCCAGGCAAGGGCTGCTTCCCTCCTCCAGGCATACCTGGCCCAGCCTCGGTGTGGGAAGCTGAGAGCAATTAGGGTGCACAGCTCCCGTGGCCCCAGCCTAGGCCACAGCTGGCTGAGAAGGGCCCTGCTCCCATTGACGATGTATAGGGGGTGTATGTGCACCCCCTGAGTGTGTCGGTGCACCCCCTGTGAAAAGATGGCGCTGACACTGCTGGTGGTACCTGCAGGCAGTTACCACTCGCAAGCCCCATCCCCCCCACACTGCTGACACCACTGGTGGCATCTGCGGGCGGTCTGTGATTGCCACTGGCTGATGCCAACACTGCTAGTGGCATCTGCGGGTGGTCACTGACCGCCAGTTGGCACTCGCTACCCCTTCCTCCCTCCCCACTGCAGACAGTGCTGCAGCTGCCTGCGGCAGCTCTCCACTTATCGCCACCATGCTCCTGCCGCCGACAGTGCGGCCCCCAGCCCCGGGTGTGGTGGATGGATGATGGGGCTGGACTAGGCTGTGGGGGCAGGGCCCTTCCCAGCCATCTGCTGCTCAGGTTGGGGCCACAGGGGCTATGCACCCAAATTGTTCCTGGCTCCCCTGTACCACAGCCAGCTGGAAAGGCCCCTGCTCCTACAGCAAGGCCCAGCCTGGCCTCGCTATCCACTCACCCTGCCACACCTGGGGCTGGGGCTGAGGCTGGGGCTGCAGGGCTAAACTGGGTGGCCCATGGGCACTGTTGAGGGCAGGCATGGAGGGGCCAGGCTCTTCCCAGCTGGCTATGGCTCAGGCTGGGGCCATGGGAGCTGTGCACCGGTTTGTTCCTGGCTCTCCACATCTAGGCTGGGCTGGGCTATCATGGAGCCACTGTGGCAGGCAGAGCTCTCCCCTCCTCTTTCTCCTCCCCTGCCATGGGTCAGGGGGGGGGGGGGATGTGTGGCGCTGTCTTGGGGCCCAGGGCTGGAGGGGTGCAGTGCTGGGCCCCACTGTGGGGCAAGGGAGGAAAACCAGCTATAGGAAGCCCTTGGTAGCTTTTTTCCCAGCAGTACAGAGCCCCCTTGGCAAGTGTTCTCAGTTGTGGGGACTGCGAGCAAACCGTGTATGGGAGGTCTGGACAGGGCTCAGGCAGGGGCTGGACTAGACACTAGAGGACCTCTGGAGGTCCCTGTCACCCCTCTTCTCTGTGATTCCCCACTCCCTCACCTCCTTTGCCTCAGGCCCAGGGCCAGAGGAGCAGTGATAGTGCTTCAGCTAGAAAGGAGAGGGATGTGGCCAATCCTGCTCCACTGGAGCAAACAGCCCAGCCCAGCCCAGCCCAGGACTGCACTGTATCCTTGTATTCTGGGGGACTGTGAATTAACTTAAACCAGGAAGGAGTCTGGGACAGAAGTTCTATTAACTGGTTTGACCTAAATCAGTTAAGTCTGAACTACATTCAACCAGGTTCATCTTCAACCAATTTGGCCCATTTTGAAAGCAGTTTATGTGCTTTGAATTTCTGGTCTGTTACAGGTTTAAACTGGTTTCTGATCACTTAAACTGGTTTGTGTGTAAATTCTGTCCCTAGGCTCAGTGACATTACTGCACAGTAGCGTAATAATACCGTGCAGTAGCATATTAGCTCTAGGGCGGTGTGAAATTTCGCCAGCTGTTTCATTTCAACACTGTGTAACCCGGGCGGTACTCTAAGAGGTACCCCCTCTCCAATTGAAGGGATTAAAACAGGTGCACAAGTGCTGTGGGAGGTGTAGGGACTCTCCTCCCCCTATAGAGCAGAGCCAGACCACCAATGGGGACTTAACCATATACCTTTTAATGAGGGAACAATACTGGGAACATAACCAGTATAAACCAGGGGTATAGTGGACACTACAATGGCCCAAGGGGCAGGATTCAACAAAGGTTAGACACTTA